TTTTGGCAGATGATCCAGAAGTGGTTTGGCATTGCCTTCTTCTGTGTGTGAATGGAGTAATTGTTGGGATGCCACGGAGAAACCGGGGAAGCCCCCGGAGGAAAACTCCGTGTTGCCTAGACCACGGCCTTGCCCAACACAAGTTATAAATTCGGGCACCGCCGGGAATCGAACCCGAGACCCCAGGATTACAAGACCAGCGTTCTGACCGCTAGACCACCGTGGCCATTGGACGGTGCATACAAAGATAAACCTAACTAATTTCAAAGTAATTCCTGTCTGTAAATATGGTGCATATTCGCCCGACCACAGCTACTCAAATTTAACTAACAGCTCAGTCGTCCAAACAAACTATTGAAGTATCTGGCGATAAAACCCAAGAATACTTTAAACCTGGAAACAGATATGTTAGAAGCTGAACAAAAGGATGAAGTTGACCGAGGAAGATTTTAACGAGGACGAAATATACCATATGGCCTTTCTCTGAAGCCACTGTTTATAATCTGCTAACAGAGCCTGAAGTTTCCTCCACACCGCTGTGCCCACGATTGCGAACACTTCCATCTGCAACCAGTCCTCACAACATATTTCTTGAAGTTCCATCAAAATCTCCTTCCATGTGTTCCAAGTGACCGCACTTAAAGTTAAAGATGGCTCTCTTCTGGGATGTTGCAACGTGAAGTCCGGTATCAGAAGATCTTACTGCCTCCATCAGCAGGGTAATCACTCGTCGCCATAACAACGTCAAATCTCACGCCTTCAAAGGTGTTTCCGTATCAACATTCTTTATGAGTTTCATGTGTTTCCTAGCTACATGTCCAGTCTATCATAGCCTCTATCGCAATAATACTAGGTGATCTGAATAATCTTGAAGTTCCTCGATATGTAATATTCTGCTGGTCTTCTCACTTACCTAAAGTCATTTAATTAAATAGCCTTAATTTATGTTCTATCTTCACAGTCAAAAAATACTGTACCATATTTCACAAACAGAACTTGGCATAATTTTTTTATACGTAGTAAGTGATTCTCGGACGCCAAAGGTAATATATATATATATATATGAGGTTTGAACATTTAAAATTACTTCCGGCATTTTTTAGGTTCTGCAAGGCTTTTTTATATTAAAATCGCAGATTTCAATGGTGCCTAGATCGTTTATTTTATTCTATGTAATAATTTTCTCTCGCAATTATACGGTACTTACAAAAAAAATCTATACATTTTTATTTGGATTCCTGAACAATGCAGTAGACCTTTGTGATCTATAACGCCTATAGAAACCAAAGTTATATTTTCTTCGTAGAAACGAAAAACTAAATTTAATCTACGTCCGGTCAGTATTTTCATATACAGATTGTCCCCCCAAAAAATATGTATACACACATTTAATAAACAAAAATAGAGATATCTTCATCAAACACGAGTCAGCATTACCACTCAGTGAATTGGCAAATATAATGTGGGTTTTCAAAATTGCCACCGTTAACTTCGTGGTACAGTCGACAGCAGTGACAAGCGGCCACCGTATTATAACGTATATACATCTTTTTTTTTTGCGACAACCTGTATTACACTATCGGACAGACAGACACGATGTTCCAATTGTATTTTTGTAGACTATTAATTTTATGCATTTCGTTTAAATAACACGTAAATTCGATGACAACAACTCGTAAAATAATATCAAATTAATCATATTGAAATGTTTCAAAAATTTAATCATATCCAACAAAACATAAGACAACAAAAACAATATATTGAAATGTTCCAAAAATTTAATCATATCTGGGAGGCATGATAACTAATTCAAGTTAAGTTTTATCATGAAATTACGGGCGGGATTCGAGCCGTGGTCTCTGACATCAACCACTGCCTTTGACAATGGTGGTGTTCTCAGCACGGCACAGCACAGTCGTCGTCTGTGGGAGTGGGCGACTGACTACAAGTCGTGATAAGATGTTGCCTTTTCTGGTTTCTCTGACTCAGAATTGAAAGCAGCTATAATCTTATTTTTATTCTGTACAAAGCCCACGCAGTAGAGCTCTTAAGAAGCTAACAATCAACCTGCTAGAACTCGAAGATTCACTGTCGTCTCCTCAAGATCTCACCACTGGCCCCTCTCCACGAGGAGGTGAATCCAATCCGTGCATTCATATCCTTTAAGCTAAATCCTGCGATTTATCCTTAGGTCTTCTTGAAAACGGCCTACACATGAAACACCAAATTACTGAAAGAACCAAAACTCCATTCAATTCTAAAGGGTTCTGACGATGGTAGATTGCATTTAAAATTGTTCATTATCACAACTTTTCCATCGTCTTTTCTTTAAAAAAACCAAGACGTTTCGGAGTGTGGTTCTGTCTCCGTCTTCAGTTGAGAGGTACCTACTCTGTTGGGTCCCTTAGATAGAGCTAGTCTCTGTCACTGGACGGAGACAGAACCAGCCTGTCGTGTCTTTTTAAAGAAAATACGATGGAGAAAGTCCTGATTATGCATAATTTTAAATGCAGAATTCCATCCTTGTCATGAAATTAGTACTAGTTCTGTAGTTTAGTAATGCTTCTATGTAAATTATGAAACTGAAAGCTTTATAGTTGATCAAATCTGTGATTAAGGCATATATTATCCTCCCTATATGTAAATAGATCACTCTTCCACAGCTGAGAAGTGGCTGTACTCTTATTAAGTATCTAGTAACACCTCGGTTATTGAATTTACCTCGCAGTAATTCCGCGAGAGAAATTACAAACGATAACATTCGGTGATAAAAAAAAAATCGTACACAAGAACCCGCGTCCAGGGAGGTATTAAACCTGAGGAACCAGGCTTCGACCAATTC